AAATATACCGATTCAAGAACAGCACGTTGGACCAAGGATGAGAAAGGCGAATACTTCAATGATCGAGGATTGGCACCGGATTGGCCGGATGGCAGTGGCCGCATGGCAGTGGCCGGATGGCAGTAGCCGGATGGCAGTGGTTGGATGGCAGTGTTGGGATGGTAGTGTTGGGATGGCAGTGGCCGGATGGCAGTGGCCAGATGGCAGTGGCCGGATGGCAGTGGCCGGATGGCAGTGGCCGGATGGCAGTGGTCGGATGGCAGTGGCCAGACGGCAGTGACCAGATGGCAGTGATCGGATGGCAGTGGCCGGATGGCAGTGGCCAGATGGCAGTGGCCGGATGGAAGTGGCCGGATGGCAATGCTCGAATGGCAGTGGCCAGATGGCAGCCACGTTTTTAAAATAACCGTTGCAACTTGACTGATTCCTTAATACAAATAATCTATTTTCCGTGTTCATTGGATACGTATAAAAACAATGTTACCCTCCGGTTACAGTTTCCTAGACCTATGTTTCATGGACACCAAAATTAATTAAGTGGAATTAAATGGAAGATAGCCTTTTCTGCTGTTTTATTTTAACATTCCGCTAACAACCCAATTTCATTACTTCATTACTTCAACAGTTTCCTACTAGGAATCTGGAAATAGGAATTGTTGAGTGGAATCATAAGTATTGAAATTAAAAATAACTATATATTTGGTTGCAGCTTTGCCATGAAACGTTGAAATCCGTCTTTTTTTTCCTTGATTTGTTTTCCGTCGATCTTGTTTTCCGTGCTGAGCCCCAATGCTACCGACGCCAGAAAGGCCACTCCCACACCTGGACCCTACCTATCGACCCATCAACTAATGAACCATTGACTGGGATTGAACCCAGGCCTGCTGGGGTGAGAGATTATCACGCTTACTACTACACCATCAAAGCAATCATTTCCGCGATTAGTTTTATGACCTCTTTTGGTTTTGCTCAGCTTTCATCCCAACCTAGGCTAGCGGAAAACTTTCCGGAATGGAAGATTGAAGGCCCAAGCGCAATGACAGCGGAAGCGGAACGGCAGCGGCAGCGGAAAAGCCCGATCTGAGTAAGCCTACTTGTCGGATTGAAAACTAGTAAGAACCAAATCGACCTCGGTTAGTCATCTTGATGTCATTTGTGACAACTGTCAAACTTTCTGTTTCCGTTCCGCTTCCGTCCATATTGCGTTTGGGCCTTGAGAAGCATCCTTCATCGCTTTGGAGGTTTCTCGTTCGCTCTCCTTTTCATGGTAGCTCTTGAATAATCTTGAATAATGCCCGTTTATATGGTTTAAATATCATGTACGAATTGGTAGCCACTTTTCGACGAAAAATTCCCAAATCCCCGACCGTTTCTCCAATCGGTGAACACTCGGGTTTATTTCAGTTACCGTGGGGACGTAATTTGTGATTAACCCCGGTTCCTTTCAAATTGTATCATTATTTATGTACGGTCCTTATATTTTAAATGACGTTTCACATTCATCTAGTGATGGCCGATTTTCATTCGAATAATCGATTAATCGATAAACGAACCGAAAAGTAAAATATTTGTAATCGGTAATAAGGTTGTTGATCTAATTTCCGTCCTACTAAGCACAACCCGCGCTTTACCTCTCTTTTCTGAACGAGTTTAAACAAAAAATGGAATATTTCTATCAAAGATGACTTGCAAATTTATTCACCTTTCCATACGTACCGTTGGATTTGATAAAGAGTCACAAATTGTTGAGATATTGTCTAAAATCTAACACTGCTTCTTGATTCTAAATTCGTTCTACGAGTTTCAATTCCGTCCTAACGCATTGAAACGCCATTAGATTTTCTTCGTCCTACAGATAAACGTAGAAAAAGGGGATTCGCTAGGAGCGCTTCTTTTGTTTTGAGAACAATGAGTGTAAATATTTATACAATGCGCTCTAACAGAGTTAATGTTGTAGCTAATGAACTAACGCATTGGAACAAACCTATTATTGATTTGTGCACGGTGAAATCATTGATATTATTGACACGTTTTAGACACGAATGACGAGGCATCGTTACGCACATCTTTTCCAAACGAAGACTTCAGAATATGTAACAAACGCATCAGATGAATATCAGTTTGGCGCGCTTTATTTGACAGTTGACATGGAACAAAAAAAGTATCTTCTATTTAGTTCAATCATAGAGGTAACTCTAAGACTAGTAGGTCCCGAAGAAACGTGCTAAACTTTTTGGCTTAGCTCTGGTACTATCTTCGGTCCCAAGCTAATCGATTCACCCCTCGAAACATAGGAAAATCCAATAGCCCCTCATTTTTCTGTCAAACATTCATAGCGAATCAAAACAAACATTGTGTAGTACTAGAATGGAGTACGTTAATCGATTTGCTTGGGACCAATAGGCTAGTCAGATAGTGAGCCAATTTAAAATCGTTAGTTTCGTATTGATTGTTGGTTCAATTTCCATGCAAACTCTTGCTTTTACTTTTTTATGCATTTGATGTCGCATATTCGGCCGAATATTCAGCTCACCGAATAATGAGTAATAACACATTCGGTATTCGGAATAGTACTATTCGGTGCACCTCTAATGTTTACACTTCTTTAGCGGGCGTTTTACCGGCTCTCAAGTTAGTGTTTTAGATGCACTTCTACAGTTATGCACTTTTTATGTCAACCAATGAATTTGTATGTTCTGTGGCAAGCACACTCTATGCCCAGGAAAGTTGAGAAAATGTCCAACGAGAAACATTTCCTTAACCAGACTGGGAATCGATTCTAGATATCAGCCATGGTGAGCGACACATCTAAATCTCTATTTAAGATCGTGCTCAAATCTCACGATAGGGAATCAATCTACTCTACATTTCATCTCTTGCATCGCTCTCCACCATTTTGCAGGAAATATTCAAAATCTTCATCAATATTCCATCTACCTATCTAATAAGTGTACGCCCATCTCACAGCAGCAAAGCAACCATTTTCCTGCATCTTAGATAGAGTCGCTCCCCTCGATATCAGCATAGTTTTTTTTTTTTAATAGGGCAGCACAGTCACACAGCAATAGTTCAGAGCTTCGGTGGCATATTTATTTGGCTAAATGTTTTGTGTATGTAAAATAACGTATGAGTCCAGTGTTAACCCGAATACATCATCAAGAGCCGTCCAATTGGGTTCTTTAATTTTGAAAAATATATCGGTTTTTATATATCATCTGAAAGAGCTTCGTTTTCTGAGCATAGCGATATTTTTTTCGAACCCACACACTTTCATCTCGATTTTTAAATCAATATTTAAAGCAAAATAATAACATCACTGTTTGACACTAAACTGACAAACTGACAGCTCGCTCCCATACAAAGTGACACCGAGGGGCGCTAATAAGTTGATTTTTGCAAATGTAATCATTCTTATTTTAAATAATTCCAGTGTACCAAAATTGACGAAATTTTGGGTTTGGATTCCATTTCTAATGCAGATTACGAATATGCATTTACCTCAATACCCTTAAAGAACCCAATTAAAACAAAACAAGTGTCATATTTACGAGAGACAACTGTACAAAATTGCAATCTACATACTCTACTGTCATAATAATAATCGAACGTTTAAAAAAACGGCCTACCTACCATTAATTTTTCCGTTTGCTATTCTCCACCGAAAAAAAAAGCCAAGCCTACCGAGGCTCACCCACTCTCGACATGTTTCAGTCAACGTCAACGCAATGGGATCGTGAAATAGTAGGAATTAATTCGCAGCTAATCCGATCGTATCGCTTCGAATGTCAGCGCAAAGATTCATTTACGATCGAAATCATGTCACCCGTTCAATGGACGGATTATGACTGAGAGCGTGGTCCTTTCTAGAACCGCAGAATTCATAACTGTTGGTAGTTGACGGTCCAGCAGTATTCGGCGCATTTAAGGCCAAACCGCAAAACCTAATGGGCTCGACGAAAATGTAAAAATGTCCGATCTCAAAATGTGAATAGTTGAAACTGCCCGAGGGCGTCAATAAAAAAAAAAGGTCATAAATCACGTGAACTTGAACTGCACTGCACACAAAATCGTTGATAGTTTCGGTGTTCGTGTGTTTGTTTGCGATTGACCGGATCCGAGCTATAATTGGGTTTATTTTTTCGGGTGCTGAGAGGAGAGGCATGCGGCATAATTGAATTATCTCTCTTGTCTTGTCCTACCGTGTGTTTCGCGTTGATCTACTGGTCAACTGTGGAGAATGATGGTTTTCCTAATAGCCCCTTGGTGGTTTTGGTGAATGAATGAGGCAATGAAAATACATGGGCGTATGCAGTTATAATGCCGTTCGATTATAGTAGTTGTCGAAGTATGTAGTTCCAAAAAAGGCAAAGAAATTGATCCTCCTGAATACGCCATCGCTAGTAAAGAGAATACATTTCAGGTTTCGGAAAAAGGTTCCATTGCATCACTCAGAAATGAGCTGATTCAAATATATTACTTGCCTACTAGACACATCATTACATTGTTTCGATTGAAGTCCTCAAGTTTTGAGTGTTTACTTAGTAGCTGCTGCAGGAAGGGTAGCTTAGATGCGGTGCTACGTAGCTAATAACGCCATTCATGAATTTATTTACCTAAAGAGGCTCATAAGTGCGTATGGAATTGGCCTCCAAGAGCATGCTCAAGATGTGTTTGAGCCGATGCATAGCAGGTGCTCTGGTTTGAGGTTTATATTGCCCTGCGGTGATAAAGGTGTGTCATGCGAGCGCGTTAAAGGTAACAATAACTATAATGGTAGCGTTTATCGTTCGGCTGAGTAGCGTAAAGGGTATGTGTGTGCGCCCCCCACAGAATGTCTATATAGAGTAGGCTGTATCGAAGCAGTTTTCACCGAAAAAATAGTTCGATACAAATTTAATAGGGTGCGGATTTGCTGGAGCTGGAACAGCCGGCTAATCCGGTATCTTTTGTTTGCTATATATACTGAAAATTTAAGTCCAAATAGCACAGTTCACCATCGTCTTTTCTGTAGATATAGTGCAACTAGCAAGCGATTTTTTAGATAAGTGGAAATGGCATTCAAAGTATGTGATTGAGAATATAATCATTCTATCAGTGATAAGATAAAGGACTGTTGATAATCAATAAGTGATTTTATGATGCTAAAGTGTTCTAATTGAATTTAAATGTCTTCTTTCCGGTAGTTCGTCGCACTGTTTACCCTTTTGGCTGTGGCTGCTGCTCAGCAATACAGCCCACAATACTACCAGCAGCCACAGTACCATGCTCAGCCAGCCTTGGTAAAAACTCTTCAACCAACTCTGGTTAAGGCCGTCAAGCACGTCGAATATCCAGATACTCCAGCTGAGTACCAGTTCTCGTACTCCGTTCATGATGAGCAAACTGGAGACATCAAGAGCCAAACGGAAGAACGTCACGGAGATAACGTCAAGGGAGTCTACAGTCTAGTTGATGCCGACGGATTCCACCGAGTTGTCGAATACACTGCTGATGAACACAGCGGATTCAATGCTGTAGTCCGCCGTGAGCCTCTCCAAGGACATAAGCTTATCAAGGCTGTTGCTCCAGTTGCCAAGATTGTTTCACCAGTTCAGCACTACCAGCCAGCACCTGTTCAGCACTACCAGTCAGCACCTGTTCAGCATTACCACCAACCAGCTCCAGTTCAACACTACCAGCCAGCTCCAGTTCAGCACTACCAGCCAGCTCCAGTTCAACACTACCAGCCAGCTCCAGTTCAACACTACCAGCCAGCGCCAGTTCATCAATATCAGCCAGCTTCTGTGTTGCACTATAAGCCAGCTCAAGTTGCTAAGGTTGCCCTACCAGCCAAGGTTGCCGTCCCAGTTGCTAAGATAGCTTACGCTCCTCAGCACTCAGCCAGTAACCACGTGCAGTTCAGTGGACTCTCCTCCAACTACAACTACTAAATCGCTTGTTGCCTGGATCAACGATTGAACGATGACAGCGCGCCATAACTTCCTGTCTGCATCGTACCGCAGATTGGGGTGTTAACTAGTTGTAAATAAGTGTATATAGTCGTGATAGTTTTAAACGAAAGAAGTGAATATAAATGCTGAAATATTCAGAATTTTCATGTTTTCACATCTCCAAATCAATCAAGCGATTAGTGTTTTCATCTTATTCATGGCGTTGTAAATGATAAACGATTTCGGTTCAAGTTACAGTTTATAGCCATAACAATTATCATGTTGCCCTGTTGCCAAAACTGATTCAGATGGTTAAATTTTCGTGGCCAATGTGTCAAAAGTTCGGGCAATTGTGTGCTTTTACGTTGAATCGCCTTGTGTCTTCCAAACACTTATTTCTTGATCCATAAGGTATAAGTGTTCAAAAGACATCAGATGTTGGTGTATTGGTAAGCGTGATTACCTCTCACCCCCAAAAGGCCTGGGTTCAATCCCAGTCGGCGCCGCCGGGATTTGCTGGGGCATAAAACTTCTGACACCTTCCTTTGGATGGGAAGTAAAGCCGTTGGTCACCGGTTCATGAGTTGATGGGTCGATAGGTAGGGTTCAGGTGTGGGAGCTTCCTCTCTGGCGGCGGTATCATTGGTACGGAAAACAAGCTCGACAGAAAATAAATCAAGAAAAAAAAAGACATCAGATGTTTGACGTTGCGCACTTTTATAAGCGATAATACACTTCTGAGTAATCCACTTTAAATTGCAATGTACAATATCCAGCGCACCACTAGGATGAGGAATCCTCGGTGGATGGTTGCTTTTGCCTTGACCTAGCCCCAGGATCTGTCAATTTCCTAGATTTATTTGGTGAGACTCCGTTGCCATAAGCCGTTGGGTCTGTTTTTCTGCGATGTCCTACTGGGTTTCGTTTTAATATAGAGCGCTTGCTTGAAAATTTCGTTTTCGCCTCTTCGTAGTGTGTGACCGACCACGTTCTTGAATTTCTGCTGATATCGGCGATGGATCTCGACGTTCCAGACCCAGATGTGAGGCCACCAGGCACGAATTATATTCTATCAGGTAACAGGTATTAGAAAGCTGGATCAGGTGTCACGTTCCCCTACAGATGAGAGGAATGGGATGGGAATGGGATGGGAATGGGATGGGAATGGGATGGGAATGGGATGGGAATGGGATGGGAATGGGATGGGAATGGGATGGGAATGGGATGGGAATGGGATGGGAATAGGATGGGAATGGGATGGGAATGGGATGGGAATGGGATGGGAATGGGATGGGAATGGGATGGGAATGGGATGGGAATGGGATGGGAATGGGATGGGAATGGGATGGGAATGGGATGGGAATGGGATGGGAATGGGATGGGAATGGGATGGGAATGGGATGGGAATGGGATGGGAATGGGATGGGAATGGGATGGGAATGGGATGGGAATGGGATGGGAATGGGATGGGAATGGGATGGGAATGGGATGGGAATGGGATGGGAATGGGATGGGAATGGGATGGGAATGGGATGGGAATGGGATGGGAATGGGATGGGAATGGGATGGGAATGGGATGGGAATGGGATGGGAATGGGATGGGAATGGGATGGGAATGGGATGGGAATGGGATGGGAATGGGATGGGAATGGGATGGGAATGGGATGGGAATGGGATGGGAATGGGATGGGAATGGGATGGGAATGGGATGGGAATGGGATGGGAATGGGATGGGAATGGGATGGGAATGGGATGGGAATGGGATGGGAATGGGATGGGAATGGGATGGGAATGGGATGGGAATGGGATGGGAATGGGATGGGAATGGGATGGGAATGGGATGGGAATGGGATGGGAATGGGATGGGAATGGGATGAGAATGGGATGGGAATGGGATGGGAATGGGATGGGAATGGGATGGGAATGGGATGGGAATGGGATGGGAATGGGATGGGAATGGGATGGGAATGGGATGGGAATGGGATGGGAATGGGATGGGAATGGGATGGGAATGGGATGGGAATGGGATGGGAATGGGATGGAATGGGATGGGAATGGGATGGGAATGGGATGGGAATGGGATGGGAATGGGATGGGAATGGGATGGGAATGGGATGGGAATGGGATGGGAATGGGATGGGAATGGGATGGGAATGGGATGGGAATGGGATGGGAATGGGATGGGAATGGGATGGGAATGGGATGGGAATGGGAATGGATGGGAATGGGATGGGAATGGGATGGGAATGGGATGGGAATGGGATGGGAATGGGATGGGAATGGGATGGGAATGGGATGGGAATGGGATGGGAATGGGATGGGAATGGGATGGGAATGGGATGGGAATGGGATGGGAATGGGATGGGAATGGGATGGGAATGGGATGGGAATGGGATGGGAATGGGATGGGAATGGGATGGGAATGGGATGGGAATGGGATGGGAATGGGATGGGAATGGGATGGGAATGGGATGGGAATGGGATGGGAATGGGATGGGAATGGGATGGGAATGGGATGGGAATGGGATGGGAATGGGATGGGAATGGGATGGAATGGGATGGGAATGGGATGGGAATGGGATGGGAATGGGATGGGAATGGGATGGGAATGGGATGGGAATGGGATGGGAATGGGATGGGAATGGGATGGGAATGGGATGGGAATGGGATGGGAATGGGATGGGAATGGGATGAGAATGGGATGGGAATGGGATGGGAATGGGATGGGAATGGGATGGGAATGGGATGGGAATGGGATGGGAATGGGATGGGAATGGGATGGGAATGGGATGGGAATGGGATGGGAATGGGATGGGAATGGGATGGGAATGGGATGGGAATGGGATGGGAATGGGATGGGAATGGGATGGGAATGGGATGGGAATGGGATGGGAATGGGATGGGAATGGGATGGGAATGGGATGGGAATGGGATGGGAATGGGATGGGAATGGGATGGGAATGGGATGGGAATGGGATGGGAATGGGATGGGAATGGGATGGGAATGGGATGGGAATGGGATGGGAATGGGAATGGGATGGGAATGGGATGGGAATGGGATGGGAATGGGATAGGAATGGGATGGGAATGGGATGGGAATGGGATGGGAATGGGATGGGAATGGGATGGGAATGGGATGGGAATGGGATGGGAATGGGATGGGAATGGGATGGGAATGGGATGGGAATGGGATGGGAATGGGATGGGAATGGGATGGGAATGGGATGGGAATGGGATGGGAATGGGATGGGAATGGGATGGGAATGGGATGGGAATGGGATGGGAATGGGATGGGAATGGGATGGGAATGGGATGGGAATGGGATGGGAATGGGATGGGAATGGGATGGGAATGGGATGGGAATGGGATGGGAATGGGATGGGAATGGGATGGGAATGGGATGGGAATGGGATGGGAATGGGATGGGAATGGGATGGGAATGGGATGGGAATGGGATGGGAATGGGATGGGAATGGGATGGGAATGGGATGGGAATGGGATGGGAATGGGATGGGAATGGGATGGGAATGGGATGGGAATGGGATGGGAATGGGATGGGAATGGGATGGGAATGGGATGGGAATGGGATGGGAATGGGATGGATGGGATGGGTTTGTTAGCAAAATTTGATGGTCAAATTTTTCCCATACATTCATTTGCAGTCTAGCGTACACGAGTAAGGGTATGCGATATATCAAGTTGTTCCATTTATTTTGCTTAGAAACGGAACTCCACGGATGCAACGAAGTTATTGCTTGAGTTCTTAACATTGGCAATCATTATAAGTGATAAGCGTATGAACGTTGGCAGTCTTTCACGATTTCCATTCCAATTCCCAATTCGAAAAGGTAAAAAGGTAAATGAATCATTAAGCAATGACGATGTTCCTTAATAAGTAAAAAAAATCTCATAAAAAAAGATCGGGTTGCTCCTTAAATGATTGATCAAAATACATTAAAAATCTTAAAATGCTCAGTAAATATTTAAAGTACGCTCCCTAAAATAGAGAAAACTGTACATTAAGCATTTGAAAATGCTCCTTAGTATGCACCGCTTAGCACCATTTTGAAGTGTAATTGTACCATATATCATCGGAAAAGCTGCTGTAGAAAGGTTAATAAGTACCATAAAATCAGCTGAAATGTTCAGTAATAATGCACAAATGCACAAAATGATTTACTGAACATTTCATCTGATTTCATGGTACTTATTAACCTTTCTACAGCAGCTTTTCCGATGATATATGGTACAATTATACTTCAAAATGGTGCAAAGCAGTGCATACTAAGGAGCATTTTCAAATGCTTAATGTACAGTTTTCTCTATTTTAGGGAGCGTACTTTAAATATTTACTGAGCATTTTAAGATTTTTAATGTATTTTGATCAATCATTTAAGGAGCAACCCGATCTATTTTAAGGAGATTTTTTTTACTTATTAAGGATAATTTCATCTGTTTTATTGAGCAAATGTAGGGCTGCCATTCGAAAACGTGGTAGAACCCTTTCTTCCATAGGAATCGAAAAAAAATGCACATGTTCATGCGCTTATAACTTTGCGGATTTAAATGTTACTCAAAACTAAAGTTATGTTAAACTTCTTTTTCTTCTTCTTCTTTTCCTTAGCATTTCAAGCTTACTTCTTATCGCCTATTAGCTTATTACGTGCTCTCAACTTAGTGTTCTAGATGCAGTTTCACAGTAATTAGTTGAGCGCTTTCAATGCCTGTACGATTTTTGCATTAGTATAATGGTGTGGCAAGAACAATCATACTCCATGACCAGGGAAGTCGAGAAATTTCCAACACGTGAAGTTCCTAGACCGGACCGGAAATCACACCCAGCCTCTTCCAGCATGGTCTTGCTTTGTAGCTGCACCTTTACCGACTGAGCTAAGAAGCTACCGATTTTAAATCAGGGCCTGATAATTCTCCCAAAATTTGAGATTATTTGGATGCGAACTCATACTCAACTTTAAAGTTTGTATAATAATTACAGTGGGAAAAGTTAAATTTTTGTTCCCAACTCACTTCACCAAAATGATTTACGGAAAAGCTTGCTACCTTCTCTGATGTTAAATTTTATCAGCTACAACTTTGCTAAAGACCACTTTTCGATTAGATTTCATA